TCTGAGCCCAGCTCAAGACCCTGTGCAGAGCAGGGCTTCTCAGCTAAGTGACTTAAATAGCTCCCTGAATCCATTAACCTTTAAGTGTAAGATTTTGTGTCTTGTAGTGGCTTATTTCACTGTGCTCTGGCTAAAAAATTTGTCTTGAAGGAAATACCTTTTTCATAGATTCATAGAATGGTTAGGGCTGGAAGGGACCTTCAAAGGTCATCTAGTCCAACCCACTGCAAGGAACAGGGACATCTCCAACTAGATCAGGTTGCTCAGGGCCTCATCCAACCTGGCCTTGAACGTCTCCAGGGATGGAGCATCCACCACCTCTCTGGGCAACCTGTTCCAGTGTTCTACAACTCTCATGGTAAAAAATTTTTTCCTAATATCCAATCTGAATCTCTCTCCAATCTGAATTTTATTCAAGCTCACTCGTTTCCTTTCCTTTTACTAGTGGGCTCTTTACAGCACGCAGCATAAAATGTTGAGGAAAAAATGAAACTATCTTTTAAATAAATTTAGTAATATCTTGTCCTCAAACCACGTTTTATGGTTACTATTAATATCCCTGCCAACTTCCTGTAGTTAAAAGAAGAACCAACAGCAACTCGTGACCCCAGGAATCTAAAAGAAAGTCATCTGCAGAAAGGAGCTAGTGTTGCAGAGGGCGTTGACAGATGAAAAAATACATTGGACAGAATTTTTAGCTTTGTCAGTTTTGGAGGGGAAGGGGACCCACTGTGTTTGGAGCCAGCTGGAAGCTATGTCTGCAGAACATGAGGCAGGAGAACACAAGTCCATTCTGCCTGTAGCCTGGGTGCGTGTGCGACCTTGATCCAGAAGGAAAGTGACCAGGCTAGGGACAGCTAATGCACTGTTTTGGGTGACTGCCAGAAAGCGGTAATTGTCTTTGTTAACAGCCCTGGTCATTAAGAGTTTTATTCTAAAACCAATAACCTAGTCAAGTCCTTTTTTAAACACACTGTGTCTGTGAAAATAACGTGAATATTTGCGTATATCTGTGTGTACGTATATGTACGTAGACATCCATATGTTTGTATGTATATAAATTCTCTTGAATAAATTGTGACAATAGTAACATATGGAAGACCATAAGCAAGGCTAGTTGTATAAGGAAGATATATCTCGTTAGAACAACCAGTATGAGAGGGAGAGAGGCACAGACAGGTTATTAACTGGCACAGGCCAGTTATCCCTTCCAGACTGGAGATCTGGTTGTGTCTGAATGCTAATCTGTTCTGTCCAGCTATGCTACCAGACTGAGTTACTTGAAAGATGCTCACTGACACTTTCATTTTATTATTTTCTCTTGCCTTGAGTAGCTGTTTACTATTAAACATTTATGATTCTTCCTGGGGATCTGCGCTATTGTGATTATATGAACTAAGCAAAAAGATGCAAAAGCTAGCCTGTTACCAGAATTTCTTATTTGCCCTCTTGTCACAGTTCGTTTCCTCTGTACAGCACAAGTTTGTGCTGAGGACTGGTGCATACTCACACATCCCTTCCCTATGGTGGTCCTGTGCTTTAGCTCTAGCTCAAAGAGCAGCTGTAGAAACTGTTCTGAAGTGCCTGTATTAGCTGAGATACACTCTGTTTAGGTTATTTCTGAAATGCACCTGCTGCTGTGTGCAAGGAATGGAGCCATCAAACATTATGAGGTTTTGGTGTGTTTAGACCCTTTAATTGGACCATCTTGGAACTGACTTGTTTACAGTTACATGGGTTGCAGCTATGTAAGTATGAACTAGTGTGATTGTGTCTGGGATAAAGCAGATAAGAGGCAAGAAGTGTCATAGTGGCATTTTTGTGTTATCAAGCAGATGATGAAGTAAACCATATTAAAGAAAAATGACACTTGGTGGACTACTTTTTAGTGTTTGCTTTAGGAAAAGCACACTCTTGATATGGGAGACTTGGGGGCGACACGGTAGCTTGGAGGAGGAGGACTCAAGTACGCCGGAATGCGAAGAATCACTCCCAGTAAGGCTGTTCCACAGAAATGCTGAAGCTGTGGGTGTATTTATAGCAAAAAATTATTTCCTGTGAACTGAATCTGAAATACATGCAATGCCTACTTCATCTAAAAGGGTCTGTTTCATTAGAGGGGTATGGGTGCTGGCTCTGTTAAACGTTTCCTTAATCAGCCTTTTGGGAAATTTGCTGTCTCCGATCTTGCTTATGTTCAGCAAGTTACTGAAGACTGCAGTTGCATTTGAGAAGTCAGGTAATTTGCTGCTTTCATGACAGCCTAGTTGCTGAGCAAATGTTTTATAGTGATTTATGGGTAGGAGTAGAGGAGCTGGCTTGAACAGGAGGGCTACGAATTGGTCAATCTGTTTTCAGAACCTCACACCTGAAACAATGATAGATGGGCAGTACTGTTGAAACTGGGAATGGTAAAGCTATTTTGCACAGTACCGGGTTAGCTGTCTTAAATCCTGTGATGCTGGATTGATGAAAATTCAGAAGTCATTCTGGGGACTGTGGAAGGAGGTTGGGAATACACGTCTGAGTTACATAGACAGTATGTTACTAGCAAAGTTTGAAATATCTTTGTCTTGAGTTGATCCTGGCCAGTAGCTAAGCACCAACCAGCTGCTTGCTCACTTCTCTCTCCCCCTCCACTGGGATGAGGGAGAGAATTGGAAGAATAAAAGTGAGAAAAACTCAGGGGTTGTAATAAAGGCAGTTTAATAAGTGAAGGAAAGAAAAAGCTCAAGTGATGTGAAATCAGTCACTCACCATGTCCCACCAGTAGACCAATGCCCAGGCAACAGCAACACTGGAAAGACCAAACCTACAAGTTTTATTGCTGAGCATGACGTTATATGGCAGGAATTATGCCTTTGGTCAGTTCTGGTCAACTGTCCCTGCTCTGTCCTCTCCAAACACCTTTCCCAGCCCCAGCCTGCTCACTGAGGGTGCAGAGTGAACAACAGAAAAGGCCTTGATGCTGTGCAATCGCTGTTCAGCAGCAGCTGAAACACTGGTGTGCTGTCAACACTGCTTGAGTCACAGATGCAGAACGCAGCCCCAGGCTGGCTGCTGTGGGGCATCCCAGCCACAGCTGGTACAATCTTCTGCAGTATCTAGCAGAATAAAAATACATTAAAATAACTTTTTGATCAGCTGTACCAGGTCAGTGTAATTTGGGTTATTGAGAAAAATGGCTTTCAACTTTGGAAAGAACCGTGTCTGGATCATACTCTTGGCAAAACAAAATACAGTCTTTGCTTCCTGACAAGACTGAATCCATTCCAGTCCATTGTGAACAATGCAGGTGCTTTATTTCTGTATAATTGTGAACTTGGAGAACAGCATAAAATATCTATTATCTGATGTAACAGATCTTTCTTGTTCTCTTCCTTAATTTCTCAATTAAGTGAAGAGGTTCGAATTATTGATATACCGCATTGTCTTTTTTGAATTAATAATCTGAAGGTTAAGATGGAAGAAGAACCTGTAATATATATGTATATATCAGACATTACGGCGCACGTTTTTGTAGAGAAGTACATTCAAGTTCTACACAAGGGAAAGTATTTTCCAAATGCGTGTATTAAGGCAGTGACATACCAGCGTGCAGTATGCTTGATTAGTACAATTAAAAGATGTAAGAACATGTGATAGAACATGTGATAAAACATGACACAAATTAGATGCTGGACATGGTGTCCCTATAAGTCAACCTGAAATGACCGGCGTCTTTTTTCCAGTGCTTTTAAGCATGCATGTCCTGCGTTGGCACTATGGGAAAAGTTCATCTAGGCAGAGGTCTTAACTCTGGAAGCAGCGAGACTGGAAGCGTGTCTGTTGTGGTGTCAGACATTTAGTAGTGCTGTTGGAAGGGGCTGGAGAGCTGATTAGGTCACAGAGTAGCATTATGTTCTCACAGTGTGGATGGAAGTAGCTTCTGGTTCTCCACACTTGATATTACGGTGAAATCCATCTTCATCTTTTTCAGTATTTTTTACTTGTTCCATGCGATGAACAGGAGGTCATACAGATTATTTTTTTTTTTTTGCCAACACTTGCGATGTTTCAGGTGAGAAGAAATAAATAAGCAACAAATAAAAGCCTTAGGCTTTACCTTTATGTGTTATCTCATTGTGGAAGTTTGAGTAAAACAGTGGCTTATAAAGTTTGTCTGTTAAGGAAAACATGAAGTCGATTAACTTAAATATATCTATGAAATGCATCACTGTGATACTCCACTGTGCTTTATCGTTAGCACTTCTGTCTGTATGCATCAACCACTACCTCTGAGTTGGAAAGTAGGACTTTGTGCTTAATGTGTGTTTTTGATTTAGTTATTTTTTGCAAATTGTTGCTCTTTATGTTAATCTACAGTAAGTGGTTGGCTGTGAACTTGCCACCTTCATCTAATACAGGTTTAAATAATCTGAAATTTACAGTTTCAGGAAGGTAAATATTTCAACTCTCTGGCATTTATACAGCAGCTTGCAACATAAACTTAGGTGTAGTGTGAATAAAAGCTAAAAGTCTGCAAGCCTTTTTCCAAATGATGCACATCTGAACATTTTAAGTTACCCAAGTAGCCATAATAAGGATAATTTGGTGTAAATGCTTAGCTGCCTGGATCTGCTAAGTAACTTGCAGTAATTGTAAATGGAAATGGCTGTGTGTCTTGCTTCTCTGAATAATGAAAAGCTGTCCCCAAGAGTTGTCGTAGCAGCTGTGTTTCTGACCTAAATAGCATTGTACTGGTGTCTGCACAAGTCTTGTCACTGACTAGCATTAGTGTTAATAGACTGCTTATGTAGCCTGATCATGGTCCCACTTGAACTTCATTGAAAATATTATGGTAATACTTCTACTTTTTCCTTTTTTACTAATTATTTAAATAGATTTGTCCTAGTTGTGAAAGCTGGACTTTTTGTGTGAGTTTTTTTAACCCGTCCGTTGCCTCTAGAGGTTGATTTTGAAGAAAATGAGTAATCTTTTTAATTACTTTTGCCCTGTAGGTTAATCTCCGAGCCACTGATGTGAAGCTTATGCGCCAGCTACTCATCATCAACGAAAGTATTGAATCAATCAAGTGGATGATTGAAGAGAAGGCCACTGCCAGCAGAGGTAGCAGTTTGAGCGGCAGCCTGTGCAGCTTGCTGGAAAGTCAGGAGACGTCCCTCCATGGCAGCTGTAACAGTTTACAAGACTGTAGTGATGGACTGGATGGAATATCGGTGGGGAGTTATTTGGACACCTTAGTGGATGATGTCCCTGGTCACCAGACCCCTTCAGACATGGACCAGTTCAGTGATTCTTCTATTATGGAGGACTCACAGCCTCTGCATAAGCATCCCAAAATTGATTCTGACGAGTACTACTGTTTTGGCTAGTAAAAACAAGTTCCAGTAGGACACAAATGCACTTATCCTTTTTCTTTGCTGCTATTTTATTTCATGTGCAAAACCCTCAGACTTCTCTTGGAAGGAAAGCATAATATGATACTTTGATTTTCACTTCACAACTTCTCTGTTGCTTCTAATACATTTTCTCCTTGGTGGGTTGGGCTTTCTTCCTCCTCACCTTTTCTTTTTCTTAATTTATTGTCGCAATTTTTCTTTTTCGTTTTAATTTTTTACAATGCTGTATTTACAGGTCCTTAAAAGTGGTGAAGGAAAAGCTTTATCTTTAAAATGAGACATCAGGGAATGAGAGCAACAATTTTGTATTTGTTGGCAATAAAATATCTTCTGATAAATATATGTTGTGGAAAATTTTCTTGGTTTGGCCTTTCCAAGGACATTGTTCTCACTGAGCCTTAAATCTGAATAATGAAAATACCTCTACAAAATAATTTTCCTTTTGTAAGCAATGATATTTGATTCTGTTAAGCTGTCTTCACTTCGAATGTGAAGTATCCTAAACTTTTCAGTTTGGTGTTTCTTTGTTCTTGAATGTTCTTATCCTTCTTCTCTAATTATGGTTTTAAATTCTGGGCTTCACTGGTGTCTCGCAGTGATGCATTCCGACACTGGAAGCTCTGCATAAGAGTATATTTCATTTTTGTGCTTCATACCTTTCTTTTTCATTGAACCTGTGGTTTTATAGGCACGGTCTATATCTTCAAAAAAAAAGAAAGAGGCATCTCACATTAAAATATCCCATTTTAATAGTTTGCATACTGAGCCAAAATTCCTCAGCAGAGTTATCTTAAAAATGTAATTTAAAGTCTTGTCAATTTTTACCTTGAAATTCTGATGGATTTAGAGGACATTGGTGAAACATTTTACATGAGGCAGCATGCTAGAAGGCATGTCCTGTTTTGCTTTTTTTATGCACACTCTCATCCTTAACAGGTTTACTTTGTTTTTACCAATTATTATTATTATTACAAGAAAGTATTGCCCTGCTGTCTTTTTATTTCCTATTTAGAAAAAAGAGTTTACTTTTACCTTTTTGTGCTTACTGGTGGAGTTGAGAGCTATGACTCCAATATGAGTAATGTCATATTGGAAGCATCTGAGAGGCAAAACAAGAACATACTGCTGTGTGGAAATACTCTGGCTTTGAGACTACCCTGGCCTGTGCTTTTTTGCAGAAGATTAAGAGGCAAATTTCTTCTTTTAATTCTTCCAAATCGTGAGGAAGCAAGATTTTTATCCTTCTGCAGTAAAGAAAAAAATAAGAATAAAAGAATTAGAATTGAACTGGACAGTTTTCACCCTTGAAAAGAGAAGACTTCGGAGGGTCCTAATAGCTGCCTTCCAATACCTGAAGGCAACCTACAGGAAGGCTGGGGAGGGACTTTTTGCAAGAGTGTCCACTGATAGGACAAGGGGAAATGGGTTCAAGTTGAAGGAGAACAGATTTAGATTAGATTTTAGGAAGAAATTCTTCAGTAGGAGGGTGGTAAGACTTTGGAATAAATTGCCCAGAGAAGTTGTGGATGCCCCCTCCCTGGAGGTGTTCAAGGCCGGGTTGGACAGAGCCTGGAGTAGCCTGGTCTAGTTGAGAGGCGTCCCTGCCCATGGCAGGGAGGTTGGATCAGATGATCTCTGAGGTCCCTTCCAGCCTATGCCATTCTATGATTAACGAATGTGTATTTCCAGCTTACAGATAGTGAAAGAGATGCTGATACTTACACGTCATCTAAGTGTCCTATCTTGACGTGTCTGTATTCCTAAAACATGAAATTCCCTCACTGAAGAAATTAACGTTTTCCAAGTATAATACAATCTCCCTATTTAAAATATCTTTTACACATTCTGAAGGAATAATGCTAGTATATGCAGCAGTTAACGTATGTTGGTTTGGTTCATTTGGGGATAAAGTAATAGGCCAATAAGGTTCTGCTCCTCCAAGCTATGTTTCCATGGGCCTGTCTTGCACAGCCTTCATCAACATCAAATGTGGAGAAAAGGTAAAAACTCAAGAAACTGAAAGTGGCAATTTGTGCTTTGTGGTTGGCTTTGTTACTTTTCAATAAGGTAGCTATCTGTGTCCCTCAAAATTTAAAAAAAAAAAAAACAAGAAGTATGTCTATTTTGCTTCCAACATCAAATTCAAATAGAATGAGAAGAAATTTGTGGTTACCAAGAATGAGGCTTCTGAGTTCAACTTCTGGGATCAAACAGAGTATTGAGGATAGCTTGAAGGAAAACTGAGGCAAGGCCTCACGTGAAAATGCTTAACATTTTCAGGTTTTTTAATTCCTTCCCCAGCTTACGACTGCTGTCCGTAATTTGAAAAAAAAAAAAAAGTTTGTAGAAAAAATCACAGTAAAAATTTTTTCTCAGTGTACCATTAAATAGAACATCAACTGTGAATTCAAAATAGGTTTTATTACTTTAAATTATTTTAATCTAGGGAACAGAGTTAACTCCCTGGTGTAAAACTGTAACTCTGTTCAAAGTTTTTCTGCCTTTATTGCTTGGAGTGGAAGTTAAACATCAGGATGGATACTCCCTCTGAATGTAGTGAATGTGCAATATATACAACCTCTTCTTCTCCAACTGAGATTTTGGGCAGTAGGCCAAGAGGCATGTAAAATTTTTCTACTACGAAGGAAAATTCTATTCAAAAATATTCTTAACATACCTTCTCAAATATCCCCTAGAGTTATGCTGAAATTACTTCAAGGGAAATAAAGGCTGTAGCTCTCACCTACCCACTCACAAATGGAATACTGGATAAAGAGTAATTACATCAGTGATAGATTTATCATATTATGATTAAAAAGTTCATTTAAATGGGAATCAAAGGTGGCAGAATAATAGCCTAGTACTAGAAGTGGTGAAATAAAACCTGTGTGTGATTAGAAGATTTTATTCCTCTATGTCTCTTGACTGGAAGTGGAGAAAGAGTACAAATGACAAATTAGAGATGGCAGGAGACTGTCAGAAGGAAGTAAGAATTTCCAGGTGTTGCGTTTCTCATATCCAGGAACATGAACACCTTGGGTTTCATTTTTGACACATAAAGGGTTCAGAGATTTAGGTTTGACGTAGATTCCTTAATTGCATTAACAGGACTTCATAGCCAAAAGATAATAATTTACTCTGACTTCCTGCTTAAGACAGACCATGAAATTTGATTATCTCCTAAAATGAATACAATAACTTGTAACTGGACTACAATGTCACATTTAGACAATGGAAAATGTTCGATGCTCCTTAAAAAAAATATTCCCATTGGGGAATTAATTTAACTTTTAAATCGTTTACATATTTCTTCCAGCTTCCTCTTGACGTGGTTGACCTTCATCTTGCAAAATCTTTGTCCGGTAAAAAGGGATCTGGATGCCCTCTTCTAGCACTTCAGCAAAAAAGGGCTGGTTTCTTTTTTCCCTTGGGTTTCCTTGTAATTTTTTTTTCTGATTTGCAGAACAAAAAAATAATATTCAGTAGTATAGGGCAGAATATCTGAAAGCATTTTACGAGCTATGTCTGTTTCAACTGGATAAAAGCAACAGAATTTAAAAAAAAAAAAAGTGAGAAAAAAGCAATTATAATTCCTTTATTCTCTGTCATTTTCTATCATCTTGACTATTCTGTCACTTGGCTCACTTCCAGGCATGACAAACAATTTCAAGACAATTCATGAAATCACAGACTATGAGCAACACCCAGTCCATTCTTATTTCCATACTGCTGAAGTTTTGTCTTTGAAAGATGTTCTACTATGTAAGCTGTGTAATACAGAAACAATAAGAGACAGTCAAAAAAAGATAGATTCAGTATGCTTTCTGTTTTAAAATAACTGTTTCTTGCTAATAATAGGAACTAACTACTAAATGGATGTGCTCTGTTTCACAAATAAACTATTGAAGGAGAAAGAAAAAAAAAAAGCCAAACTCAAACTTTCTCATCTGAAAACCATGGTGCTGTAAAGATTCTGCCAAGACAATCTAGCTGAGAAGTTTTGTTGCACTTTCAAAAGAGCAATTAAAATTCTTTGAAATCTCTCTGCCAGCTGATGGGTCTAGTGTTGATCTCAAAGTTGCATGATTGTCTCCACAAATGCTGTGAGAGGATGAAGAGCCAAGCAGGAGCTCTTGGATGCATCCATAGACCAGAAATGTTGTACTAGGACGCTGAAGACAGAATAGCATTTCTGCCTTTGGAAGATGTGCTACAATTATGCTGCGAATTGAAATGGTAAGATTAAAAAAAAAAAGCAAAAATCTGGTGTATATTGTTAAAATGAGCCCTGACTTTTGAAGGAAGTGGTAAAATGCTGGAAATACTGTCAAAATATTTGAAAGTTTGAAGTTTCAAAAATCTTTCTCTGCATTTGCCTTTGAAAAAGAGAACTGGTTAGTCAAGGTGAGTGCGATGCAGTCTGAAATAATGTCTGTTTGCACCATATAGCAGCATCTCATATAACCATATGTAATCCTCTGAGAAACTGTGGGGTTTTTGTTTAGTCATCTTAAGCAGTTACTAAGCTGTCTAAAAAGCTTGTGCTAGTATTTTTCATGTTGCCAACACTTCTTCTGAACCAAGCCTAAAAGATGGTCTTTGAAATAAAGAATTAACGTGTACCCAATAAACATGAGATCAGTAGAAAGCATCCATCACCTCACTGCAAAGGAGGCTTTGTTTCACTTTAGATGTGCTCTGTTACAGCAAGTTTGTCTTTCTCAGAATAGCTATGAATTTACTATAGAAACAGTCTAGGAGCATCCTGCCTTGCAACCAATAGCAGCTTTGCCCTTACATAAATTAACAAGAGATCAATGCTGCCTCCACTTGACCTTTCCGCTGGTCAGAGATTAAGTTTTCCTAGTAAGTATATCTAGACTGAAAATAATTTTTTTTTTCCCCCTATGGAATTTTCTGTGCTATGGCATATCACCAATAAGATAAACAATCTTCATGAAGTCTTTTTAAAAGCATGCTCTGCCAGTGCACATGTCTGATCTGAACTGGATTGACATCTCCCTATAGTCTTGCTTGGTTTTCTTGGCCCAGTCCCAAAAAAAACGTGTGAAAAGAGATGTCTTTTAGTCACTCTTAGGGGACCACATGATCCAAGTGTCTGAGAATAACCACCGGTAACACAATTTATCTTTTTGTTTGTTTGTTTTT